TGATTTGATAGCGAAAACGCATTGAACACAGAAAGGTAGTTTCGGAATTATTCTTGTGAATAATTTCTGCACGCTTCAACTGTTTTCTTGAAAAGTCCGACTTTGGTCAGATGGACCGCCATGGGCGCGGTTTGGATTGGGGCACAAAAAGAGTAAAAAGTTTTCATCGTAACATGTTTCAATAAAACAATTTCAAATTGGAAAAACTGAAACTCGTATTTTTTTTTCAAATAAAAACGTACAATGATCTCTTGTTAACAACTGTCGTTAAATATTGTCGGTCGATCTGGACGCCGTATTTTTTAATTTGCCAAGGGCGCCATTTTACGTAGATATGCAACCGTTTTAGAGCCACTGGTATAGTCATAATTTAGCCTATCTTTATCTTTATCGTAGAGTAGGGTTAGGCCATAATTTTATTCTAATTTTCCATATTTTAGTTCTATTACGAGTTCAGGGACTGTCTGTGTTAGTCAAGTGAATATACCCCCTGCTCATAGGTTTCAGTCCCTTTATACAACTTGGTGTAAAGTAGGCGAGCAAAATTAGTTACCTCCATATTGGTACACATAGTCAGAAATTTCGACTAAACTGTATCGTTATCATATTACCAGTCATGCATGATGTTATTTATTTAATTAAATTCAAATATTCGCGTTGGCGGGAAAATGTCATAAATTCCTTGACGTTTATTGCCAACAATCACTATTGTTGATGTCCTGCTGTGTCATAATATTGAACTAATCCCAGAATGTGACAAAATAATAGAATTTAATATACTTTAAATTGATAAACGACTTCACGGGTATTAAAAGTTATTTGCAACGACACACCCATATATGGAATAAGCGACACAATAACACGGAAATATAGCTTGCGCTAAAAGTTTTAAGATGCAAGCAAAACAAAATGGCCGACGAAGTCATTACCAGATTATAAAAAGCGAAAAAGGTCGGCCTTAATAAATACGCGGCCCTTCGTAAAAAGTGGCAGGGAAAAATTGATAATTTTCAATACACAAAGAAGTTGTTTTTGCATTTTAGTCAAGTACAAAACACGGTTAAAGTTACTTTACTTTACGAGTTTACGTTTAAGTTATCCCCCCCCCAAAAAAAAATTTTTTAAATTACTAATATATTGAAGTAGCGGTAAGAGTCTTTTTGAAAACTTCAGTCGACGGGATCACGTAACAAAACTTGCAATCATATAACATACCCATATATTTCGTACTATTGTTAATATATTTGTTCACACATTATCAAACTGCACCAAAGCCAGAGTTTGAGTTGAACGTATTACTAACTAATGATCTGCTTAATATTGAATAACAAATAGAATCGTTATTTATATTCACAGTGAGAGATAGTGAGAGTATGCAGTATTCGAAAAGACTGAGAACCATACCATGCGCAAATAAAGTTATTTTTAGAAAAGGAAACTAAATAGTCATAAAATTCTGTTACAATTTCAAAAATTTGTTATGAAGTCAGTTCTCAAAATATTCATGTGCATCGTAAAGTCCCGTTAAAATTTAAAAGTTTTTATATAGAGCACTTTTCGGTGTTTTTCGAGTTACTCAATGGAAATACAGGTTGTTTATGAAGTTGTTCCCATTTCAAAATTTTGTTATAAAGTCAGTTCTCAATTTTTAATTTAATCAGTGTTTATTCAAGTTTTTACTTCATTAATTGTACGAGTCAAAAACTATATATGGCAACGGTTCCCAAACTTTTTGTTTGTGCGGTGTCAAATTAACAAGAAAAAATCCTGGCGTACTTATACATAAAAAAATGCTGCTTTTAAATAAAACTCAATTTCGTGATCGTTATTATGTGGTATTACATGCTTTTTAAAGTTTGTGAACATATAGGCTTAAAAAATAGAGGCAATGTCAAAAAACATTTACATACATTTATCTAATGAGAGGTGTGCGACTGCTGCTCTGAACACATCTTTTCAAATATTCAATCCTATATTAATTATGTTTAATCCAATTTTGGTAATTTTCGACGCTTCAAAAATGTGTGTACTAATATGAAGGTAACTAAATTTGTTCTCCTACTTTACATCAAGTTGTGTAAAGGAACTGAAACCTATGGACAGGGGGTATATTGACTTGGCTGACACTGACAGTTCCTAACTCGTAATAGAACTAAAGAAAGGAAAATCAGAATAAAGTTATGGCCTAATCCTAACCTGGTACACACACTACGGGAGCAACCCCTTTGCGAACCCTCGATATATGGTATCGATAAATTTTTCTTCAATTTGAAGACTTTATGAACTCTCTGTACATCTTTATGCATACAAGGGCCATGCCAGATACAGCCATAATCATCATTATCAGTATATAAGGCATTTAAATCACTTTCCCAGTTACCAGCTGTGATTACATTTAACAATAGTATTGTTTGTTTTCGTCACAATGGGTTAGAAAGCCTTCGCGCGCGCGGGAGATTTTGCGGTTTTATATGAATCCAATTATGCGATGACCGTGTCCGATATGATATGTATGACTTTGCGCATAGTTATGTCATTTGTTATATTACCATAAATGGTAGTTTAAAAAATTTTGCGCTGAATAAATAACTACAGAATTCGGCTTCTCTGGGTTAATGTAATTAAACAACTTTATGTAAATAAATAATTAAACTACACGGTAGTGGTTCCAACAGGGGCCCGTGGCCCACAGAGCAGTTGGAGGGGCCGCTATGCCAGGCGCAAAACTGATCTTACTGATTGATGAGAGCTAAAAGCCCCCCGGAGAGGCCACGAGATATGAAAGGATAGGAACCAGTGCTATACGGCATATTGATTTGAAACTGCACGTATAATGCAAAAAAGGTATTTTTAGCATGTCTATGGCTATCTTATTATTATGAAAAGACAATGCCCGCGTGGTGAACACTTCCAAGATTTAAGACGTTTTTCAATAAATATATCTCTCATGAAACCGAGATAAAACCCGAACAAATACGAATTTTTTTTTCGATTTCGATCTTATTTGCTGATGAATAATATTTAAAAAGCTACTATGACGGATGAGATGACGAACAATTGGTTTGTGACCAAATAATCGATCGTCACAATGCTTATCGATGCAAAATATCGATTTACCAACCACAAATGTAAGCAAATATTGATAACTACTTGAAAATGTTATGGGATCGGTTGAGGCAACGGTTTCATTTTTTTTTTTTTTTTTTTGGGGGGGGGGTTGCCTTGTATTCGCTGTGGTATTACTAATATTCTTTGGCCTTTACTATTTATATAACACGTATTACGTAACACGACTTGTGACTTGTTTTTATGCATAGCGAGGCAGAAATAAAGAAATAGGCAAAGGTAATGAATGAAGATACCTATACGCGTAGCAGGCGACATTTAAAAATATAGAAGCCTTAAGCACACACATTGACGACTCATTACCCTAATCAGTAAATAAGCGAATAATAGACACATAATAGGCGACAATGTGTATATACGGTCAGAATCAATTATTTTAGATAAATATATGGTGTCCATAATGTCTCAAATTTTTAAAATTGCAAACGAAATTTATCGATACTATACACTGATTTAGCCCTCACAGATGTATTAAATGAAGTAAAAATACTTGAACAATTTCTGATTAAAAAACAACAAACCTGGTTAAGATATATTGAGAACTGACTTCTAAACAAAATTGAAATTGTAAAATAAATTCATGGACAACGAGTATAGTGCGATTGTTCACGTCATGGAGGACATGAATAAGGTTCATATATGACAAGTAGCTTATTATAAATTCGTTTATATCGATATCTGCCTTATATGAAGCCTCGTTCGCAAAGAAAAGGGGTCGGGTCCCCCATTTTAAAATGTAAAAAAGAAATTCTGTGTCATGAATATCATTTTTTTCGTAGCTTAAAACGCATTTTAGACCATGAAGACTTTTGAGAACCCACGTTTTGCAGCCGGACTCCGTTATCTGTTACGATTTATCTTGGCGATCAGAAATTTCGCCAATGAGCGACGCAAAAAAAAAGAGTAATTCTTTCCTTAGATATCAATATCCACTTTTACTCAGCCTTGCTCGCAGAGAAAGGAATATGACATTCCAGATCAATTATATCGATAGTTCTTTTCCCCCGGGTGTCGCGTTAATTAGTAACAAATAGGACATAATCGAGAAACAAGCCTAAGCAAATAAATTTAAACTCCCTCGGTTATTTAGGAAACAAATTATTGGAAATTTTATTAAAATTATCGTTTTTGACAGATGTATATGTGAGCCAAGTAAACATTGCAATACGCTGTGGGAAGAAATATTCTAAGAACGCCGTCTCTCGATTATGTCTAGCCCTCAATTTTGTAAACTGAACTTTTTTTTGTTGAATCCCCCCTTTCGATTATTTAGAACAGCACAAGTTCGATGCGTCATTGTTCGAGCTCACTAACGAAATTTCTTGTTTATGACGTTTTGGTGACGTCATACAAGGTTACGTCATAACTGTTGACGTCGCATACGAGTTAAATCTCCCCCTACGATTATTTTAAGTCTATGCATTCTGCCCTCACTTTATTTATTGAATAGGTAATGGATCTTTAGTTAGTGTTATGCGCGAGTCACATTTTCGCTCTCGTACAGTTCAAGTATTTATAACGCGTGTATAAATAAGTATTATAATTCTTAACAGCCTGGGGAACGTCGGTATATTGTCTACGGCAGGAGTTCCCAAATTTTTATTGAGAAGACCATGAAAATGATGATTATTATTTACGCAAACTTGCAATATATTTATAAAAATTATTTATTGGAAGTTATAGATAATGTCATATTTGAATTACCACCTTGTTGCCACATTTCGACGCTACCGTTGTTAAATTTCAGTAATGTCGTTATTCCCCCTTCAGACAGGTATAAAATTAGCCAAGTATTTGAATAAGTAAACGAATAAACCATGGCCCTTGTCTAGGACCATCGCGACAATACCATATTACAGAAGACAAGTACACACCTCAGATAATCTTCTTTGCAAAATAATTTTCCATCTCTGACGTAACACGATGACGTAAGAGGCTGTCTGCAGCTGAAGCACACTGAGCATTCTTCGTGGTAAGGTCGGCCAGAGATCTGATGCACATACCGGTCCTGTACAACAATGTCAACTAAGATTTTTATTTTGTTCGAAAACGATTGTTAGGTCATAGTCAGAATAGGGTAATTACCCCCCCACTCCATACATATTCCATGCGTATTTCAGTTAAGTTATTCTATTTGTATGACTTGAATCACTTCAAGGGATGGGCAACCTTTAATGCATGAGGGCCTGATACAAATAACTGGGTGAAATCGCGGCCCGCGCCTTTATTTAACATAGGCTTCCTAGTAATTGCAGGCACAAAAAATTGGGTTATTGATCTTAAGACACTAGTTTTGCGCACACCATTCAAAATTGGTAATTGGTACAATTTTGTCTTGTGGGTCGTATTTCGCCCGCGGGCCGAAGATTGCACACCCCAGATCCAGAGTATGTATGGTTAACTCAATGACCCGAGTTCCAGAATTTAAATATTAAAATAAAATATTAAACAAAAGTTTGACTTACCGTTATCAAATTATTGCATCCATGACAGACATCTTTGATTACGTCATCATGTTTTAGCTGCAGCGAATCACCAAATGACGTCATATCTTTTACGTCAAATTCGACAGGGGGTGAAATATTCGTAGAACAGCACAAGTTCGTTGCGAAAACGTCATTGTTTGAGCTCACTAACGAAAGTTCTTGTTTATGACGTACCGGCGACGTCATACCAGATTGCGTCATAACTCTTGACGTCACATACGAGTTTTGACTGTCGTCATCGCTACTGAAATCTCTTTTTACCCATGAAATGTTGGAAGAGACTTGCTCGTTGATAGGAAGGCTAGGATTCGAACCCAGGACCTCGTTATCAGAGTTTCCGAATTGATGAAAATTTGCCACCATTTCAGGTGCTAGCATACTGTGAATACTTTTAGAAAGAGAAATCTGGAAAAATGTATTAAAAATTATTAAGCAATATGAATGCTATGCGGGGCCGAACGCTATTTGAATCGCCTCTCCGTAGATGGCTATTCCTCAGCTGTCATTTAAACAGCAGGTTGGGAATGGAGATATGTAGGCTATGTGTGGCTCATTCGAATGAATAGTCTTCATGTGCCTCATTCGAATGAATAGCAATGGGTATTTTGGAATCGAATTGTCGTATAGACAGCAGGTTAGAAATAGGGTTAGTTATTAAAGGGCTGTGGTATATAGATAGGAGGTTATGAGTGGGGATGGATATATAGTTCCAATCATCATTTGAAAGGCCTTCTTCGAATAGCTTTCCCGGTAGAGACTAATGAATTACCATATAGACAGCAGGTTAGGAATAAGGATGGATATATGGTTCTAATTGCCATTTAAATGCCCCTCTATAGAGCTACGTAACATACCATCGCAAGCTCAAAAGAGAAAACGGCATATTCACCTTATTAAACTAACACAGTCTTTCGCTGAAATAAAATAACGCGATAACCGAGCAACTATATATCGACATTAAAATGTCCTTCATATGACCTTGTTTATATAATAGAAGACCATGTGTATGGCGGTTATCTCTGACACAAGTCAACTACGAGTTCCTAAGACAAACTAAATGTTTGTTCCGTCACAATAAATATTTGAACAAATGTCATTGTTACCTAATAATTGCTAATTTTTTCGTCTAAGCACACAATGCCATGTGGTACGATAGGCCACGATCGCTATTTATTTATTTACTGACATACTTATTATATATTTTTGTTGGTACTACTGAAGTATGTGAACCAACATGGCGGACACTGGAACGTAGTATGTGTACCAGGTTAGGGTTAGGCCATAATTTTATTCCAATTTTCCTTATTTTAGTTCTATTACGAGTTCGGGGACTAGCCAAGTGACTCCCGTAGTATTTGTACCTGAAATTATGGCCTAAACTTAAACTGGTACACATACTACGTTCCGGTGTCCGTCATCTTGGTTCACATACTTCGGGAGTAGCACTTTTTTTCTACATTCCTCCCTTTGCCAATTTTAAAACTATCAATTCCCCTTTACTGTTCTTTTGAATAGAACTAAATTTTGTGTTTTCTTGAAAAAAAAAAGCGCGAATTCAGACTCAATCAACAAATTAGCGCGGGAAGTAAGTCCCATTAAGTCGCGTGTGACGTCATGCAAAACAAAACAGAAAACAAATTTGTTGTGACGTAACAATAAACACAAACATATCAATGGGTACTTAGGAAGTTTTCCGTGACGCAACAATACAAACAAATGAATTCGTTTTCCGGTTTCATTTCGATTTTAGAATTGTAATCGACCACAAAACACACATAAATATGTATTTCGCCTCCAAAATTAAACAAAACATCCAGAAAAAATATAAATAATGCCACGGAATAATGATAAATGGGTTTCAGAAACGTACTTTTTATACAAAAACAAATCAGTATTTGTTAAAAAGGGCGCGCATTTATAAAAAGATTTTTCAATAGAATGTTTACTCCTTCTAAAGCACAGTTTCAGTGACTTTTACATTAACCTCAACAGCCGACCCCAAATTCAAAGAATTGTTGGAAACATCAAAGCTTTGCCTAAAAATAAACAACACAACAAAATTTACAATTTAGAATTAATTTTGCACACGGCTGTAAGTTTGAAAATTTCGAATTAAAGCTATTCGAATCAACGTCAATTTGAATCTCACAATAGATATGACCGGACTCGTCCCAATTCAAGCCAAAAGGACGAGACTTGAGAACTGCATAGCGAGAATGAGAGAAAATAAATTTTAAATTCTTAAACTTTTTATTGAATTACTTTGGTCGCTTCTAACTTTGATTAGAAAATCATCTATGTAATTTTCACAATGCTTTTTTGAACCTTAAACGTTCGCTTTTTGCCTTTGCCTTAAAACCTTAGAATTGTAAATCAATGCATCTGAAACAAATAACTGGCTAACCAATTCCATATCTGACATGGTTGGCAGAATGAGTAAATCGTCTTATCTTCTCTAGGGTAAATATAAAAATTCTATCCTTTCGGTTAATGGAATTTTAAATATAACCAATTTTAAAATATAATATTTGAGAACAAATTTTTATTATTCAAAGTTCGTCACTTTGCCAAAGTTAGTGAATAATGAGACAAACTGTTTCAAATGGCGTAATTACCAAGAGTTTTATTTTGAATAACAATGTTACATTTTCCAGTCCGGCCTCCTCTGCGTAAAAATACAAATAAGATGTTAAGCTGAATTGAACATGCAAAAATATAGCACGTTAATATAAAAAAGTACGGCTTATCTGAGCAAAAAAAAAAAATTGACGATTATTATTCGGCAAATGGCAGTAGCCAGTGGATATTACATTTCAGGATAAATTTCGAAAAACTCCGATGCGCCAAAGTATGAAGAAAACTCGATATGAGCAATTTAAAAACAGTGCGCTACAACTAATACACGGTGTACTCATGGTCAGTATAATTATAAGTTAATTTTGACTCCATAATCAGGCATATTGTGAAATATTTGATAAAACAGAATTGCCAAAATACGGGCGTGCTAATGGTAGATGGAACACGGTTAAATAATGATGTAAGCACATTCATATAATTAAACTAATAACAATGCCGCAATTACCAAAACATTACAATTCACCAGGACTATTAATTAAGTGTTAAAAATGCTCTCTCTGTCCGCCAACCTCTTACTATATCTCCATCTCTCTAATGAAACGCTCGCTACAACCTCACTCGGCGACGCCGGTAATTATAATGAGACCGACGAGAGATGCGTCGACGTAAAAATGTCTCAAAATGGCGTATTTTTTCGCATCGGTAATCTCAGCACGAAGTAGCGGCGAAACGGAGGCTGAGATTGCGGGGATCAAGGATTAAAATAGACCTATGTATGCCCCGACTATCCGGTATCACATTGCAGGCACGCTGAGGAAAAGTTAACGGTTATTATAAATTTAAAAAGTTCCTGTTTAATGATGAATAATATAACCAGTGTCTGATTTACCAATAGGAAAGGTAGGCTGAAATATGTGAACCCCGCATTCAATTTTCACCTACAACTCATTTTCTAAGTCGTTTTTAAATTGAAAACGCTTGTTCTAAAACAGTGGTTCCCAAACTTTTGAGCCGCGTCCCAATTTAGAAATTGTCAAGTCTCGTGCCACATCTCAAATTATTAGCTAACAATGAGTCACAAATAACAGATATATATTAAGGCGAAAGTATGTTTTATACAAAAACACGTTGAAAATACGTGACGGGAACGTAAATATCCATAATAAGGCGGACAAGATCAAATCTGACAAATATTTCAATTTGGTGTTCCCGAAGTATGCGAACCAAGATGGCGGACATCGGAACGTAACATGGGTAACAGGTTAGGGTTAGGCGATAATTTTTTCCAATTTTCCTTATTTTAGTCCTATTATCAGTTCGAAGACTAGCCAAGAGCCTCCCGTAGTATTTATACCTAAAATTATGGCCTAACCCTAACCTAGTACACATATTACATTCCGATGTCCGCCATCTTGGTTCGCATACTTCGGGAGCCCCTTCAATTTTTAATTGGCTCCACGCTCTCGCAAAAAAATGTCTACGCCCCCTTATGGGGGGAAACCCAATTTGAAAACCCCTATTCTAGAACTATATTAACGTCATATTAGATACGTTATGACATCACAGTAAAAAAGTTACCTCACAAATGACATGGCCTCTCATCGGCTAAATCCGACCTTGATAATGATCCTGGATATCGGCGTAACTTTATTTTCTGAAACAGACCCGTGTATGTTCCCAACTATCCGGTATCGCATTGCACGCACGCTGAGGAAAAGTTAACGCTTATTATGAATTTAAAAAGTTCCTGTTTAATGACGGAGTCGGATTTACCATTAGATAAGGTAGGCAGAAGCCTAGGAACCTCGACATTCAATTTTGGACTATTATTCATTTTTAAGTAGTTTTTAAATTAAAAAGACATGTTCCAGATTGCAGTGGTTCTCAAACTTTTAGTATCGCGCCCCACTCAATAACTAACTAACAATAAGCTACAAATAACAGATAATCAGGCGAAAGTATGTTTTATTAAAAAAAAAACGTTGAAAATACGTGGATCACAGTTAAAGAGATAAATGATACAAATGATATGGCTCTCATCGCCTAAATCCGGCTTTGATAATTACCCTGTATATCGGCGTAACTTTATGTTTACGTGTGGGCGAACATAGAAGTTCCAACCGGCGGCCATGAGGGCACCGCCCAAGTAGCATGTTATAGGGGTGAGTTTGTTGATTAGTTGAATAAATCAAATATTAAAAATACAAACATTTCACTCTTACTTGACCTTCAATTTATTCATTCTTGTGTATAACAACATCTATAACTTGTTAATCCACGAAATATTTTTGATGTTAGGTATAAGGGGCAGCATTATCAGAAACTCGCTCGGGGCAGCAGAAAAGTATTACACACCTTTGGTTCCAACGCAAATAAAACAACAGGGTCTTGATTTTTACCACGTAAATATCGCCCAGGTAAAACCACATTTTTCAGAGATGAACTTATTACTTATCGATCTTGTGATCGGTAAGTATATTGATAGGTATTTGTCTGTATGTATGTCTGTCTGTCTGTGTGTGTGTCTGTTAGATGCACGCGATATCTCACGAAAGCGAGATTGAATCTGCTCCAGATTTTGCATGTGCATTCATCTTATCAATCAATTATTGATATAATGATCTAGATTTTTGTAAAGCGAGAGAATTTTGGAACCCGCCGAGTGTGTGTGTGCGATGCGCAGTGCGCAAGTTACAAGAGCGGATGAATCGAAACTGCAGTTTCTGTTTTTGGGGATCCCCTAACTATCGATCGATAAGTCTTCGGTTTCCAACCGATATTCTCGTTTGATCTTCTATCATTTTGGATCAGGGGTCATGTT